AGCTAATCTGCACCAGATATATCCACCAATGCAGCAGAATGACCAATTCACATGTGTTTTGAGGAAGGGATATTTCAATGGTGTGTATGTGTGTGTGGAATATACTGATACAGGTTACCGGATCTCTCTGTTTTGTAAAACAATGACATAGATGATTAACATATACTAGAGAGGAATGGATTAATATCTAATCCTATAAATTATACCTCCAACAATATCTAATTATTTAATTGTTAACCTATTTATAATTTTAAAACCTAACCTTCTGACCCAGAGCCTAGAGTGCTACCAACTGTGCCAAAATGTTACGTGGCTGAAATCCTAATTGAACATATATTCTCTGATAGGAGAACTCTATTGGATGCTAATTATTATTTTTTCTAATGCTACCAAATATTCTATCACTTCCGCTCTCCCGTATTATATTATAAATTAACTGGTATCATATAGAAAAGTTGATCGTCTTCTTAAAGTGATCTAAAATAATTAGAAAGTTCCTTTTGTAAATTATTCTCTTGTTTCTTGCCCTTTTTGTCCTAAAATATGTTTGAGCTAGGCTTCTCTGACAGAGGTCTGGTGGGAGACTTGCTGAAAGGCATCTAAGCGTTCTGCTTGCTACTTGTAGGCTAGCAGTAACCCTATGAGGTAGCAATTCACAGAAACATGGTTGACATCAGAATTTCACAAAGTTTATGTGGAAGGCCAGGTCCCAAGGCCTCAGACACACGTCCCATGACTGTACTCAGTGGCACATATGTATTTTGGTACAAACATATTCAGGACATGTCCAATGTTTCTCCTCCTCTCACAGACAACTTGCTGAGTCTCCTGAACATCTCCCTCTAGTGGAAACCCTGCGTAAAATGGTCAAATGCTGCTTTCATTGTTTTCTGCTGTATTCGCCCTGAAATTCTCAAGATTTTAACCTTAAATCTATTGTGTTAAAATTTAAGATTATGCAGAGTTTTTAAGAGCAGCAGAGAACTGACTGCAATGTTAAGGCTATATTTAAGAATTTTCCAAAGTTCTGGTCAAGTTAAACTTTTATTGCAATGGATTTACAGCTAAGACCATGAGCAATTTAAAACCTCAGAACTGGTCTGTGATGTCTCATAATTGAGATTAGTGAAAATGGATGGATTTTCATAATATCTTGTGATGCATGAATTTTGGGAGATGAGAATAAGTGGATATTGGAGAGGCGATTAAGTGGAGTGGAAGCTTATGTGGAGTATTAAAGCCAGCACGGACTGATTGGGCTGAATAGCCTGTTTCTGTGTTGTAACTTTCTATGTAATTCTATTAAATAAGAGTATTGCTTTAGTGTGACAGGCTACAGCTATAACAACAGCACAAATATGAAGCTTACCCCATGACACTTAATATATTAATGTTGAAATATGAGCTTCTAGTGATCCTAGTAATTACATCACTGAGTAAATTGCGTGGAAGAAATGTATCATAAACTCTGAAGCTGAACTGATTGATTCCCTGCTTGTCAGCAGATATACTGAACAGAGTGGTGGTTGTCTGGATTTATCATGGGAAAATCCTATTGAAGGCTGCATAGCATTGGTCACTACATTTACTGATCAGTGGGGAATCTCCCTCTAATGTCTTCAGAACACCGTGCCAAGTCATTATCAATGCAATAAAATGAAGTACTTGTTAAACCCTCTTACTTGTTTAAAGAGTGGAAATAATTCACCGCTTCCTATCTCCTCCCTCCTTATCAAGCTTGATTCCTTCTTACAGACCTCATTTCCCCTTCACACTAAAAGATTATTGCATGGATGTGACTAACTATAAGAACACGACCATATCCTGCCGTTCATCGAAGGCAGCAATGAGCAGCAGTGATGCCTTTAGGAATTGCGTATGGTTACAAAAAAGATTATTATCAAGTTATGAGAATTTGGCTTGATTTCTCTGGAATAAAGAGAAGACTTTAAGGTGACCCAATAGAAGTGTTTAATATTATGCAGAGAATCAATAATAATAATCCTTGCATTTGATACAGCGCCTTATCATGTCTTTGAGACATCTCAAAGCGCTTCACAGAATATATTGTAAAGTGAATTGACTGTATATTTTGTGGGCGAAACATGGCAACCAATTGCACATAACAGTGTCCAAACAAACAGTGGTGGATTGAGTGACCAAATTCCTCTTTTTCTTGGAAGGGATTATTACTCCTGGGAAAGCAATCCACCAATCGACTAACAAACAGAGGCATGTGGAGTAAGGAAACTTGCCTAAGGTTTCACCCTGCCTGGGGAATCAAAACCAGGTCCTCTCGCTTGTGAGTGAGTGCTGTAACCAATACACAATTGTTCTGGGCATATTATTCAATATGATGAAGGTTGTGAGCAGGGAGCAACTAATTCCATAATTATCGATATCTGAATCCAAATCTTGACCGTATGATAATTATCACTGCTTATTACTTCTCACAGTTTCACCCTCGTACTGGGCTGTGGGAGGGACTGAGGTGAAAATATTGCCAAAGTTCTCTTTGATGCTTCTCCTTCACACCAACCTCAAAGATTCTGTTTCCAAGGGATGGGAGTGGTTGGTTCCGTCCAATTTTCAATGCCCCCCTTCCTCAAATGGGCAGCCACATTCATCTCTCAAGTCAAAAAAGTTAGAAGACAAATTGGCTCATTGAGTGGTTGAGTTTACTCTCACCCAGCACACTTCACTAACCTCAGCAGAATTGGTTTGTTTAAATAACAATTTCTCAAGAAAGAAAATGAAACCCAGATGTTTTCATACTATCAATAAGTCAATCATTTAAATTCCTTTCTTTGTAGCTTTCAAAATATCCATGTCTTTTCTATCCCAGAGCAGAATGTTCCCCAGTTTGCTGATGCTGAATATTCTCAATGCCAGTCTTTATTTCCTGAAGGAGCAGATAAAGTCCATAAGCATGCATATTTTCATTTTGTATTAATGGGGTCTATTCACAAAATTACATAATCTGTTTCCTTAATAAGACGCTCTTTGCTTTCTGGTCTTTTATTGCAACTTTTCCCAGCTGGGAAAAGAGTCGAAAAGCAAAAGTCCAGGCATTTATGTGGCCTTTGCCATCTTTTGGGATCTGAATATTAACTTTATTTTTTTCAATTTCAAAATTGTGAATCACAATCCGGAATTTGTAATCAACACAGCAGACTTGCTTTGCAGATATTGCAAGTGAAACCTTGTTGTCTGTTCTGAGACTGAATAATATGCAGAACACTTTGGAGACTAAGTTGAGGAAAGGTAATATGGAGATAAACAGCTATCTCCTGGATGAGTGGAGACCTGTAGCTCAGTGGTTAGAGCACTTGCCTTGCAAGCGAGAGACCTGAGTTCAATTCCAGACAGGGCGAAACCTTGGGCAAGTTTCCTTACTCCATACGCCTAATAATAATCCCTCTAAAACAAAAACAATAATAAATTGGTCATTTTCAATCCACGACTGTTTGTGGGACACTGCTGTGCGCAATTAGCTGCCGCATTTCGCCCACAAGTATATGGTCAATTCACTTTACAGCATATTCTGTGAAGTGCTTTGAGACATCGAGAAGATGTGAAAAGCGCTATATCAAATGCAAGGATTATTATTATTATTATAAGAGTGGGAGGACAGATTGCAACTTGAAAAAAAAGTGTCGTCTCTGTTTTCCCAAATACTACACTTTGTGATCATTTTTTCCAGCTTTTTCAATGATCAGGGATGAGATGATTTTTTTTTAACAGAGATCAGCAATACTGGTACTAAACCTTTAAGTCGTAGGAGCCAATATGCAGAACTCTTAGGGCAGAGCATAACATGAGTGTTAAAGAGAAAGAGAAAATGGAGAAAAGAAGCTCAGAGAGAGTGAATTAAGAAAGGAGACTTGTGTAGTATGGCAAGTGTTTTCTCAATGGAATACATTGGACAAGCTTGCCATATAACTCTTGATACAGTAAAAGCATTGGGTGGTCCTAGCAGAGGTTGGATATGGGAACAAGTGTGAGAATCAATGGGCAGATTTAAGTTAGTTTATTTAATTTCATAACTGTGGCTAGATGAGGTATACATCCTTTGACGGTTGGAATGTCCTTTGCAGGTTTCAAAATCCAGGCAGCATAACCTCCTCCCCTCCCCCTCCCCATTCTCTGAGCTACTTAAAGTGACAGATTGACTTTTCTTGGCTGCGATCAGCGCTGTTGGTACCAAGAACATGCTCATCTCTGCCAGCTTTGATCAGATTGTTCATTTCTTTGTGCGCGGGTGAGTCCCATGTGAAGACCAACCATAAGCATGGTGAGACCAGCATGGAGCAGTTCAATTAGTTCTCATTGTAGGGAGGACAAGCCAAGCAACAAAAGATACAGCTCAATGCCTCAGACAACCAAGCGATATCCAGCCACCTCTTCCATCTCCAATGGCAGGAAATGAAGCTGTATGAGAGTATTTGTCTTGAGTTGCCTATATAACACTAGTCCCTGTGTTTCAAAAAAAGTAACTGTTTTGGATTGATCTTATGATGATTAAAAAAAATGACTTTTTATTTTTTTATTAGGTCTGTATAATGGGATTTCTTAGCAAGAAAATAGAAAGTGTTACTTATCAGTGTAATGTAGATTCCCATTGCATGATGTACATTGAAACATTTCAACATGTTAAGATGCAGACCTTTATTGAAGGTAGCCTGTTCATTCGGATCAGGCCTTTATCAAATTAGCTTAGTCTGATTTTACATTTCTTTGAATGTCACACACATTTATCTGCAGTCATTCAAGGCAACTAAGCCAAAATAGACTGAAAAAAGTGAGGCCCTTTATAGTGCTAGCTCCATTTATGGATTACCTCTAGTCAATGGGCATGTGACTCTTGCTCTACTGATCCAGACTCTTATTTAGCTCAGTAGGACAGGGAAAGAAAATTTCTTGTATGTATCACACTTGTTTATGTCCCACCAGGGTCTCTGGACTGCTGTACTAACTGCCTCCTTCCTGTTTCTCCACAGTTGTTTTCCGCAAACATGAACATCTTCTTGAAGATACTTTTGATCTTGGATTGTGTCTTTCTAGGGGTTTTCAAAGGTAAGCACTTTACTGTTTTTGAGCACCTCATTCAGAAGCAATGCAAACATCTGTCAGTGCAATCCATGTGACATTGTGTCAGTGCAAACTAAGAATCCCCCAAATAAAATTGGTCATTAATTTTTTTGGCTGTTTGCGGGACGTTGCTCATTCGCCTACAAAATGCAGTCATTCACTTTACAGTTTATCTTATGCAGCACTTTGAGACGTCCTCCCAATATGAAAAGGGTAATACCAAATGTTAGGATTATTATTATTTTTTTGAAAGCTCCAGCAATTACATTGCATTTCATTTAGCATGTGGTGATATTGAAATGATCGGTTAATGGGATGACTGAAGGATGGGTGTTCTGGAAGGATGAGATCTGATAGGCTGAAGGGGATTCTTTATCCAATCCAATTTTGTGATCTTGTGATAGTTACAGAGATAATAAGAGCAGAGAAGCATATTCTTTTAGATCTAAATCTACTTCTGTCTATTTTCAGGACCCCAGGTTGCTACCTGCCAGAGTTTTCCAGATATTTATCCCAACAAGGCAGAAATAATCGTCAAGCTTCATACGTCATTCAGCTTGAAGTGTTCAGGAGACAATGAAGTGGACTGGGAGCTGCCATTCCCCACTGATTTTGTTACAGATGTCAAGAAAAAGAGTGAAGAGAATAACAGTGGGCAGTTTGTGAAATCACTTGACATCGAGAATGCAATGGGCACATTTACTGGGAGGTACATTTGCTATTATACTGGAAAACAAGATGACTACGACGATATTCTGGGCCGGGACATCTATGTTTTCATTCCAGGTATGTGCGTTTGTGTGTGTGTGTGTAATTGGACAGTTCAAAGGTGTAGATATAGTAGAGCTCCATTCAAATGCAATAGTTGTGTTTCCAATAAATTCCAACCGGCTTTATAATGGAGCTCAATCTCTGGTTAGTGTTTCTGCAACATGACTTCACATGACTGGTGAAATCACTACATGTCCATGCAGAAAAACAGCCAGCGTCCTGTGCTATAAAATACCTGAATTCCAGGACATATCCATTGCTGCCAACATTACTGCAGTCCACATCTTAGTAGTGAACCCGTGTCATATTGGGGACCATTATATTGTACCAGCAGTCTGGAACTCCATTGTGGCACCATTAGTAGTAACTGCCAGTAGATTCATTGTGTTGTTTACCCTGATTATGCTCTGTTGGATATGTTAGTGCAGGACTGGCTCTTCTGCATATCCTGGGTCCAGCACTGTTCTATTGTATATGCTGTGTACAGGAACAGTGTCCTGGATACACTATGTGCTGGAGTACATTCCTGGGTATCCTGGGACTCCTAATCAGCCAAATTGGCTTTCTATAGGTTAATAGAGTTGCACTGGCTACCGTACAATATTTACATACTTTAAATGTTTGTGCACCATATTCCATAAGGCATGAACATTATTGCATGGTGTGTTCTGATGCATGTAATTTAGCCAGATGCTGGCCAAAGCAGGCAGAGACCAACATTCTGTCTTGGCTAGCAGCTGTTACACTGTGGATGCTGTGGCAAGTTTCATTCATTGCTGAACCTCAGTGAGCTAAAATCTTGCCACAGCGTCCACCATGGTTTATGCACTTTACAGCTCATTGCTGAACTGATCAAACCCAAATACGAGGGGAAAAAAATGTTTCCCTCCATTCAGTCAGAATATTTATTACTTATTCTACTGGGGGTGTTAATCAATTTCATTGTGTGATCTGAAGTTACTCCCTGCACTAATTTTGGTCTCAAACACTGACTCCAATACTCCAGGAAAAGCTTTGAGCAATGTTTCTGTTTTTATTTACATCTTTTGATTTTTTTTGTTTTAACAATGATATGGATTTTGTCATTTTAAGAGAGTAAGTATAGTGCTATGAAATGCAGGAGGCAGTTCAAGAATCCAGTTCCGCAGTTAGAGATTTATCCTTTTTTATTCCAAGGTTTATTCTTAAATACAGAATCTTCTGATCAGTGTTGAATTCTCCTCTGCTGGTTCACCCAGTACCATATGTGACCCTTCCATGTGGAAGGAGAGAACAGTTTGAGCCGGATACCTCTCTCCACGATCTTCTGTGCTTTGTTGCCAATACGAGTGGGCGAGTTGGATGATGTTGTTTTTTCCTTCACCACAAGCTGGAATACCTCCCTCCAGCAAGCTGCCTGAGAGCAGCTGACACCCATCCAAACCAGAAGTCTTGATGGAGTGACTGGCGGCCTATGATTCTAGCTGTGTGTCTAACACTCAACTGCTTGGATTAGGTCACCTGTAAAGCAACATTGGGGAGCTAGCTGTATTGATCAAGAATGTATTGATCTGGAGAGAGGTTAGAAATAATTTTCTCACTCAGAAGGTTGATACGGTTCAAAATGGAACTGGATAAACACCTGAGAAGTAAAAAAAAGCAGTGATATGAGCAGGCTAGAGAGTGGGATTAATAATTGAAAAAGGAGAAAAACAGAAAGAATACATATTCTCAGTTGTTTAGTTTGGAGACTCGCAAGCACGGTAATGGGTTTCCGTGTATGTCAGGAACCCGGCTGACCTGGCTGTGTGAAGTCCTGTAGTTAGAACACTCGCCTCGCAAGTGCGAGACCTGGGTTCGATTCCCAGCAAGACGAAACCGTGGGCAAGTTTTCTTACTCCACAGGACTGATAATAATCCCTCAAGAAAAAAAACAATAAGAAATTGGTCACTTCAATCCACGATTGCTTATGGGACACTGCTGTGAGCAATTGGCTGCCGCGTTTCGCCCACAAATGTACAATCAATTCATTTTATAATATATTCTGTGAAATGCTTTGAGACGTCTAGAAGACGTGAAAAGCTTTATATCAAATGCAAGGATTATTATTTATTATTATTGTAAACAAAACAATGGCATAAATATAATGGCCAAATGACTTCTTCTTGTGCTGAAAATGTCTGTTTCTATTCTATAAGGTTTTACTTTGCAACATTCAAATGACATATGGTAGCATGACCTTATAAAGGGATATCTCACCGTAATCTTACAAGCATTGAATAACATGCACTCACACCCTTCAGGACTTTCAAGCACATGTTGTACTTTGAAACTTATATTTCACTGATTGAAACTTATATTTCACTGATTGAAACATGTAATGGCTGTTTGTAGCCAATATTAATTATTAAATGTTATCTTTTCCTAGATCCAGAACATCCGTTTGTCCCACAACAATGTTTGAACATGTAGTGATGGCTGCATTTGGTGACGTTGTGCTTATTCCATGTCGTGCATCTGATCCAGAGATCCAGGCCACCCTGTTTAACATAGAGAATAACAGCACAGTCTTTGGCATTTACGACCATAAGCAAGGATTCTCCGGTCATTTCCAAGAGGGAACCTATACCTGCACCACAACAGTTAATGGAGTGAAGTATGAATCACAAGAATATATTCTTCATACATTTAGAGGTGCGGCCCCTCTTTACAGTTCTTTCATTTCATTATATCAATGCTGATTGTCTGCAGCAACATTGTTTGCTGGGATCAAGCTTATCTGAGACTAACACAACATAAAGCTGTGGTCAATGTTGAAGTGGCCTATATCCTGTATTGTAGAAGCAAAGTGTTCACGATTAGGCAGTACAGTTCAATAATGGCTTGTGGAAACTTATTGATAGCAAATGCTTCTAAGAACAAAGTAGATAGGTATTTTTGTAAACTTGTGCCTTTTTTTTTCTTTCTAAATTTATATTTTGGAGGCTCATCAAGATACGGAATTAATGCCTAGCAATGGAAGCACAGTATTGAGCACTGCTAGATCAGACACTATATGGTGTCAAAAGTATTTCCAGTATTTAAATAACTCCCAATTGTCCTTTAAACCTCACATCCATGCTGTGACCCCTTAGCTTTTCTCACCTCCATCCACAACATTGCCCACCTCCACCACTATCTCTCCCCTCGGGCAACTACATATTCATAATGTCCAGGCTTGACTATGCCAACGCTCTACTTGCCGGCGATCCAATTTTTCCCTTCAAAAGCTACAGATTATCCAGAACTCTGCAGTTCATGTCCCTCACTAGGCTTCACTAGCCTATCACCCTCATCCTCACCTGGACCAATGGCTCCAAATCCCCAGTGGATCCAGTTCAAGATCCTTGTCCTAACCTTCAAATCTTTCTATGGTCTTGTCCCCCTATCTCTGCGACCTTCTCAAATCCTACAAATCCGGCCACTCCCTTTGCTCTGCAGGTACCAGCGGGCACCAGCCTGCTTCGCGTCGCCCATCCTACCCACCTCACCATTGATGGTCAGGCTTTCAGCCTATCTGTTGGAAATCCATCCCAGAGTTCCATTGGCTCAACCCTTCTCTTACCTTATTTAAAGTCCATCTGAATATCTTCCTCATTGAACCATGCTTTTGGTAATCTTTCCCTCCCCATCCTCCTCACCTCCCACCCCACTTCAGCTCCCACCCCCAGCTCGAGCGTAAACCCTGTACTGTCCTGCGCCTCGGTATGTCTGCCCGACATGAAAGATGCTATATAAATAAATCTCTACAACATAAATAAAATGTTGTTGTTGATATTAAAAAGAATGTATTTTCCTATTTGAATAAGAAATTGCAATTAATAACCTAAAAGTGTTATTTATGTTTCACTGCAGAGATGGATTTCAACACAATATCTTTATTAGAAGGATTTCAACACAACATCTCTGTACTTTCTATTTTTAGTGGCTGAGACCCTTGAGGTTGAAATAGAAGCTCCTAAAACAGTAGTGAAAGTGGGTGAACCTATTTCTGTGACCTGCATGGTAATGGATAATGAAGTGGTGGATATAGAATGGAATTATCCAGGAAAAGATGTGAGTAAAATAAATCTTTTCCATTCCTATGTTTGTGACATTTTCATACTGCCTTCCATTCAGAATGAGTATTAGTGAACACCTTAAATTTAGATCCATTCCTTTGCTTATTGTTGATCAGTAAATTTTCTCCCAATGTTCACATTTTCTTTCATTAACAAAAATGGGTGGCATCATCCTTGTGTTTTGGATGCCTATTGCAATTTTATTTTAGGTTCTGGAGGCAGGATTTGAGTACTACTCCCCAGGATATTGTCGGAATTAAGACAGCGGCTTATTTAGCTTGACCAAACACTGATCTCCATAATTGGGACAACTTTAGACATGGAGAAATCCTCAGGCACATCCCTTGTGCTGAAACCACTTGGGAAGATACTCATTCATTCTGAAATACCCCACTGGAAGAGATTGTGGTCATTCCAATTGGTTTCTTGTCTCATTACAGAAGAGGACTATTGCCATTCAAACACTTCGTGAAACAAGAATACCAAACTTAAAAATTATGAAGACCCTGCTCATTGAGAATGCCAGTCTGGAAGATTCTGGAGTTTATGAATGTTCTGTGGAACATGCAACCCAATTTACCAATCAATTGAGGAAAGTTCGCATCTCTGTCAATGGTATGTATTGGTTATATCCCACGTCTGTCATATTCAGATCATTCTGGAGTCCCAAGACTTGGCTCATACCAACCTGCATCTTTCCGAGTTTAGATCCTCTGGGAGAGAGAGTGTGAATCCCATTCCAGACCAAGGAACATTTCCATGCTTCTGGAATGGGCTTTGTGGGTGTTTGGCTTTACAATATTTTCTGTGAAGCGCTTTGAGATATCTCAATCTTTCTGCTGCCCCCCCCCACACTAAAACAGTCATCTTTTAGTTGCTTCTTTTTAATGGGATTTCTCAGTACAAATACTAAATGAAAAGACTAATGAGCGGTGAAAGACAGATTTCTCTTGACCGTTTTTCTTTCCCTTTATTATAATGCAAGTATTCTAAGAAGCCTGTTGCTTTATTGCAATTCAGTTGACATTCTTTCAATTTCGTTCACAGATAAAGGTTTCATCCACTTGAATCCTCACTTCGGAACACAAGAGTTTGCAAATCTGCATGAAGTTAAGCAGTTTGTGGTGGACATTGAAGCTTACCCAAAACCTACTGTACGGTGGTTAAAAAACAATGTCACACTGCATGAAGAGAACAATGAGGTGATAACCAACTTGGCGGATGTGCAGGAAACCAAGTAAGACTGCAACCTGTACAGGCTGTAAAACAAATCCACATAATAAAGCATCTTCGACACGATTGATGAGATAATGCTCAGGTAGAAAGAGTAATGAGAATAACACAGTTATTTATAATAACTTTTGCTTTATTATAATTAGAATTATGTTATCCTGCAGTATTTAACTTGGTATAATTTTTTTACATATATAAAGTGTGCCGAAGTAAATCCTATCTATCTCTCTACATAAAAGCTTTTCAGCGTGGTGTCACTGACGGCTCACTTGGGAAAGGCACTTTCCAATGTGGAACTGAACCACACGAATAAGACCCTGAGTTCAATGCTCAGTGTGTGCTGAATGTGTGCTGGATGGCTGATCTACCTTTCATGTGTGACAAATTAGGAAACTCATCACAATGCTTAATCGTATCCAAAACAGTCTTAGAGTTCCGCACATGCATGCCACCTACACATGGCAATGTCCCTGTGTCTGGAATGGAATCTGTTTTCTCCCTGGAGTGATGTGCCCTGCTTACCTATTCCAGAAAGTATTAGTTATAGGATGGCGAGACTCCGGTGTGTGTATTGGGACCCTGGAGTTTAACCACACCCTTCCCGATGTGAAAGGCACTATATAAATGTACATGTGTAGTTGTCAACTAGCTAACATTGCATAGCTTGTCAATGTGTCGTAGCATTGTCTGGCAAACTTTCTGCTTGCTTGGGAAGCAACTCTTGTCCAGCTAGCAGCACTCTACTCTTCAGGGCTTTTGCTTGCAGGGTTAAATGGAGCCGTGTGGGAAGAATTCCTGCTCCCAGTAGGCTCCTCCAAATGCTGTCAATGAGCTCGGCTGGCTGGTTATTAGCAGTGTGAATCTGCCTGGATCAGGAACTGGATACTGAGACCGCACAGATCTAATTTGGGTGGTGACAGGATTTTGACATTTGGGCTCAATGGTTTTAGGAAAGTTGCATGGGTTCTCAATCCCAATAGGTATCCAGTGAGCTTAGGTTTGAAATGTGGACGTGTGTGGAAGTAACGTAAGGCAAATATTTGGCTTGGCTGTGAAATCACTTCCACATTCACAGAACTTGCTGACACTCACTCATACCGAAACAAATTGAAATGTGTGATTGCACTTCTGTTAAATGAGAATCTGTTTACTGTTGATTTTCTGCAGGTATCAAAGCAATCTGACTCTGATCCGTGCAAAAGAACAAGATAGTGGAGCTTACACCATTGTAGTTGACAATATCGATAACATGACCACTTATACCTTTGATTTACAGGTTAAAGGTGAGTCCATGGTTTTTAAAAAAAATGTCTGTGATTTGTATAGGTGATTCCCTGGAGAAGACAGTGTTTGCATCCTGAAGGCTTTTGTATGCAGCAGTTAGACTGCTAGAATGCTGTTTAGACATCAGTAAGCTCGAAAAGCATTCTCACATTAGCATATGACACCTTGTTGTCATTAAGGTTAATTTAAGATAATGCAAAATTATGGAAATTCTTAAATTTGCTCCCTGTTCAGAACCAAGTTTTCTCTAGTTTTTAAAAAAGAACCAACTTCCAAATTAAGAATGTTTTAAAGAAGTGTCTGCAATTTCCTTTGCGTCAAAATGATCTTTCCAGTGGAATGTCAGGCCCAAAGTCTTAGATGCTGTAAAAAGGATGCTGTATTGTTATTCTGGTAGCTGTGACACTCTGGATTATTTTGTCTTTGTATGAGAAGCTTGATCTTCCAGTTTGCTGTAGAGATCAATCACACTGTTGAACAGAAATGCAAATAACTGGACAATTACTTGTGCCATAAACAACTTTAACAGCACTCACATTGATCGCTCTGCAATCAGCACTTGTTTTTGTCAGGCAACTGCAGATCAACTTTCTTGTGATACTCTTCTATTGCCTTCTTTCAGTGCCAGCTAAGATCATTGACCTTCGCGATGTCCACCACGGCTCTGCCAATGGCCAGATAGTTTCCTGCTTTGTTGATGGGACACCAAGTCCAGAGGTCGAATGGCTCATTTGCACGGATTTAAAAAAGTGAGGACTTAATCATTCAATCATGCAGCATATTTACGTGAGGAAACTACTTGCTTTGAAATTATATTTCTGATCTTGATATTTACTGCCTCTGATTCAAATAAAATTCTGCAGTTGAATAAAATACTTCACTAATATGACCTCCAAATGCCTGGAAAATGTGAATATGTATATTTATATTGTTGAGGTAATAAAGTGCTGCATGAGTATTGAGATGGTAAAGGAGGCTTAATGTGCTTTGTGCCTTCCCTTAGGTGTGCAAATGATAGCATGCTCTGGAACGTGCTGCTCAATAACTCTAGCGACATCAGCATCGAGACATTTGAGACGAAAGAGCACCATGTGGAGAGCAAGTTGACCTTTCAGAAAATCGATAACACAGTGGCCGTGCGTTGCGTTGCCAAGAATGAGCTTGCAGCCGTCGCGCGTGAAGTCAAACTGGTCTCTCATAGTAAGTGACAATGAGAGGTTGCCACTCCTCTAGCTCTGACTGAAGAGATGTCTGATTAACAGCCCAGGAGGCCTGAAATCCACCAGGTCGCAGACTGTAAGACCATTTTGTCTTAAATTTCTAAATTTGCACAGAATTGTGGAAAATTCTTAAATTCTGTCTTAACTTTTAAACTTTTTTTAGCAGGTCTTAAAAACAATTAACTTCCACATTTGGACTGAATTTGAGAATGCTTCACAATTGTGAACAATCTTAACTTTTAAGACAAAATAGTCCTTTAGGCCAAGAGTAAACTAACTTCCTGTTCGGCCTTGTCTATGGTCACCTTCCCCCTCTCCCTGGCTCGGCTTCAAGCTCCAACGTTGATAAGTGGTCAGAGATGCTATCTCAGCTGGAGGGCGCTATATAAATACAAGTTGTTATGATAATAATAATCCTTGCATTTTGATATTGAGCTTTTCACGTCTTCTCGACGTCTCAAAGCGCTTCACAGAATAGACTGTAAAGTGAATTGACTGTATATTTGTGAGCAAAACGTGGCAGCCAATTACACAGCAGTGTCCCACAAACAGTCACGGATTGAAAATGACCAGTTTATTATTTTTTGGTTGTTGTAAGTAACGTGCCGAGGCAGCAATTGACTGGTGATGTAATAAACCTATGGAATATCCCAATGGTTTACCCACAAATACTATTCTGGATTTTATATCAATGATTGGATTTGCTCAGCTTCATTTACTGTTTTTTGAACCAGTATCACCAGTTGGTGTTTCAGGATGGCCTCTTGACAACTATACAACGAGACACACATCCGGAATCTTACTGTACAAAACACTGCCTGCACATAAGAATTTTAATTGTACCATCTACTGATCCAGAGGCTTTTGCATAACACTAAACTAACTCATCACAAGTTTATGAAATGGAATCCTTTGTGACCGATATAGACCAGAGCATTTTCCAAAGGTGCTTGAACCTGATTTCCAGAATTTTGGGATCCAACAATGTTGCAGAATTCTCTGTCACTTGAAGTTATTATTCTTTCAAAAGAAATGAACATAGTACGAGAATGTACCGGGAGTGCCTCAATCGTCTTCTGAATGCAGTCGGATCTAATGCTCTGAAAATGCTAGGGAAGTGCATCTCCGCCAGCGGCTAGGATGGACTGTGTGGCAAACTATTTCAATACATTTGGATTGGCAGTGTCTATATGTGATGCAAACGACTGACAGATCTGAACCTTCACATAAATTGCTTTTTAGAATGTTCACAGCAATTTGATCTGTTTAATCAAATAAATCCTTCCACAGGGATATCTACTTTATCTGAATTGTCTCCTCTGGTTATGGGACGCGTTGTGCCTCAGAGAAAAAAATTGTTGTTATTCTAGTCAGTGAAATATTATGAGTGCAAGAACAAAAGGGTAGAGATTCCCTATGCTTTTTAATCTTCACCTGAGTTGATACAAATTGTCCAGGATGGTTGAAGCTACATTGCTACCTTTGCATCACAAAAGACTTGTATGTTTGTGGAATGGAATGCCTTACGGTTGACGCAGACTGGAGGATTTTCCGAAGGTGCTTCTACTCAATGTGATTGTAGTCACCCGACATTATTGGTAATCCTACAAATTTGCAGAACTCTTGCTCAGCTGAATTTTTTTTGAGAAATGGTCAATCACTTCCTCAATACAGTTGGAGCGAATGAATATGATGACCTGAAATTGATTGGATTCTCCTTTGGATCGGACCGAGGTCGCATTTACCTTTTCTGTTGGATGTTAAAGGTCCCATGGCACTATCCATAATGAGAAGGGAGTTCTCGCCAACAATCCCCAGATAAAGTTGATCATTGGCTTCATGGCTGTGTGTGGTACCTTCTTGTGAGCAAATTGGATGCCATGTTTGTTTACAAAATATTACAAAACAAAATAGGGATTAGAATGGATGACTTCTTGGAGGAGTAACAACAACAACAACAATTCCGGGGCTAACGATCCCTTAAAATAATAATAATTTGGTCACTGAATCTACGACTGTTTGTGGGACACTGCTGTGCGCAATTGGCTGCCGCGTTTCGCCCACAAAATATGCAGTCAATTCACTTTGCATTGTATCCTGTGAAACGCTTTGATGTATCCCGAAGACGTGATAAGGCGCTATGTCAAATGCAAGGAATATTATTATATAACTACAATTTGCATTTATATAGCCCCCTTCACGCCGAATGGTGTCTCAGAGTGTCTTCAAGTAAAAACTGACACAAAAAATGTGCTGTACTGTTGTACATTTCTATGATTCTATGGTTATTAAATAATTGTAATAATAGTAATCTTTGCATTTGATATAGTGCCTTATCGTGTCTTCTAGACCAAATGGCCAAAGTGCTTTAATACAAAGTCTTTACACCAATCGTCCCATGGTGCTAACTTTTACAGTTTTTGTGATGTGCAAATGAATCATCAATTGAACGTCTTCTCTTTAGAACTTGGAGATGATGCCTTCATTTAAGAAGAATCAAAGTCACTTCACTAACATCAAAAGGATTCTCATAGAATATGATCAGTAGCCAACAACAACAATTTGCATATATAACACTTTCACGTTAGGAGGATATCTCACAGCATTTCACAAGCTGACTGGGAGCCAGCATTGATGACTGTGTCATTTGTCCTTTCACTGACCAAAATGTGCCACTTTTTTTTATTTACATGCAGTCCATGCTGAGTTTTGTTGTCTTCATCGAAAATCTCAGGGTAGATTCCGTTCAGAAAGAGATGACAGCTGGGCCTGAAGAGTTGATAAATTGTGGCACTGGATGGATCCAATAACAGTTATGGATGCGGTCCATGAGGAACCCCCTTGTTATTATTGAGCACATTTACTTTGATTTCCCTTGGATGATTGCCATGTCCCAAGGTCCACAGAGCAGCCTTTCACCTTTCAATTCTAAATAAAGCAGACTATCAATGACTAACACTGTGATATGCACCAGAGGGAAAATATTCACATTGATTGACTTCTCCTACAGTTACTGCTTCCTTTTAATTATATTTCAAAATCTGCCGTTAGACACATATATGTTGTTGTTGCAAGTGACTACATCACCTTTTTGTGTTGTGCACAGATCTACATTCTGAACTAACGGTGGCTGCAGCAGTTCTGGTGCTGTTAGTTATTGTGATCATTTCTCTGATAGTCCTTGTCGTGGTTTGGAAACAGGTAAGAAATACATTTAGATCTCAGTCAATTAAAACGATACCATATTAACATTTCCAACTGAAAGCAATGGACTATCTGCTTTGCATATCTTTGTCAGAAAATGTCACCAATTTTTAAAATGAGCTCTATGGTTTCATAGAGGTGTGAAGAGATTGATTACTTATTCCGAATCTGAACACTGGTGTGTACGGGGTAATCGTAGAAATAACTCTTATAATCTCCTTTTGCTCGTATGCTTACCAACATTTGGCTACATGCATCTGGTTAATACATTTAGAGGCAAACGGATAATCCCCACCACCCCCAAAAACTTGAATGTGCCTCAGTTAGAATTCTGCAAGTATTATTATGACTACCATATGCTGATATGACTGTCCTGCGGGGAGGGTGGAGGGGAGTTGAACTGGTTGTAAGGTAACATGTTGGCAACAAATGGATGTATATCCTCAAGTCAACCCTCTGTGGGGGTGTGGTAGTCCAGTTCCTATGCTAGGTAGGTCCGCAGGACTCCAGGGCGCAGCTGATGACAGCCCAGTCAGGCTGGCTCATTGGCAGGACTTGGAATGTCAGACAGATCATTGGGGAAAATGTTTTTTTCTACTCAGTTCCTGTTAACCCTGCAAACCAAAGCCTGAATGGGTAGGTCCGAGGTGAACACGCAGCAGAAAGCTTGCCGGACAATGATTTAATTAACAAGCTATGTGGCTTTAACTGGTTAAAGTCCAGGAATACCCCAACGCAAACACTGTGGTCCTCAAGCCTGGGCTCTTACCAACCAATGCCTAATACTCCCTGGAATTATGCAAGTAGGATGCATTCCTCCATGGAGAGAGTGCACATTCCATTCCAGACACAGGGAACTAGCCATGTGTAGGTGGCAAACATATGTGGTACCCTCAGTCTGGTTTGAATATTCTTAAACTTAGCGATGGATTGCCCCATATGTCATGTACCAGTTGAATAGATATGAAATTCAGTAACTGGCATTTTGTCCTCCCCTCCTCCTGGGGACATCAAGTAGCAAATGGTCTGGAGGTGAAATAGCAGATGTACAGCTGTCAGCCTGACTTAGTTGGCAGCACTCTCGCCACTGGGTCAGAAGGTTTTGATTTCAAGCCCAACACTGGGACTGAAAACTCACAGTGCAGGCTGATTCTCCAATGTACTGCAAGTTAATTTTTAATGGATCTTTAAAATATTAGTTTTAAAACAATGTGATATTTTTTAACGGGTTAATTTTAATAAATTTTTTAATTTTTGATAATTATGGAATTTTTATCCCAATGTCCATTTAATTTGATGAAAAGGACTATTGGACTGCATTGATGCATTCATCTCCTGTTCTATATAGAAACCAAGATATGAGATACGATGGAGAGTAATTGAATCTATCAGCCCTGATGGACATGAATACATTTATGTTGACCCCATGCAACTTCCCTATGATACAAGATGGGAATTTCCCAGAGAGGGTCTTGTCCTTGGTAAGTCTTCACTGACTCATAGCTCAGAAACATTGAGTTGCTTGAATACCATTGAGTGCATATTGGTGGTTTAACAAGAGCTGTTAATGCAGAGTTGGTGAGAATGTTTAAGAAGGACTAGATAAACACTTGGCAAGTAAGGGATCTAAGAAAATGGCAGAGCAGGCTTGACGGGCCTTATGGTCCACTTCTGTTCCAATGTTCCTAACATGAATGTAATACTCTATGTGCAATGCAGATGCCATCTCACCCTTTGAATAACTGTTGCTGTCCACTGTTTATGAAGGGCTTCCTCCTTCTGAAAGATTATAGTACTGCAAAGACCTTGTGCTGAAATATTAAAGCAAAACTAGTGGAAAAATACTAAAAAGAATAGGAAACAAAGCCTTCTTTAAATATGTCTTAGAAATAAAACAAGTGGCATCTTTTATATATTGGCGCATAATTACCACTGTAATCCATGCTTCAAAATGAGTACTGAAGAGGGCTATCATTTTTATAAATACTCAAAGCATAACATTACAGTCAGCCATAATTGCTTCAAAGACACACCTATAGGGAATAGTGGGGTATAGGAGAGAGAAGAATAGGTGCGGTTCATGTGGAGTACAAACTCTACATAGACTAATTGAGTGAATGGTCTGTTTCTGTGCTGTATCTCATGAATTAACTATGTAACACCATTATGGTCTGGGACAGACCCTCTATAGCATGCTACGGACTCTCATAGTCTATGACAGAGTAGTTTTTTTGTCCACTTTATTTGATGCTTTATTTTGCAATGTGAGCTTAGGGCAAAAACTATTGTCAGTGGCGTGTGATTATTAAAGTTCTCCTGCTTTTTATTAAAGGTCGAATTCTTGGGTCTGGGGCCTTTGGGAAGGTAGTTGAAGGAACTGCCTATGGCTTGAGTCGCTCACAGCCTGTCATGAAGGTTGCTGTGAAAATGTTGAAACGTAAGTGAACTTGCTTGCTATACTTTATTTAGCATAATGTTGTATTTGCTTAGGGAGTTTTAGGGAGTTTCTACCATTGTCTTGGCTAACAACCCCTAAATAAAATTGGTAATTTGCTTCATGCTGTTTGTAGGATACTGCTGTGTGCTAATCGGCTGCCAAATTCAAAATACAAAATACACTGTCAACAACAACAACAAGATTCCATTTATAGAGCGCCTTTCACGTCGGGAGGACGTCCCAAAGCGCTGGACAGTTGGGTCAGGACCCGAGCAGGGGGGAAATGGTCAGGGTGAGGGGAGGGAAGGGAGGGAACGAGGAGGGGGTAGAGAGTCGAGAGAGAGCTGAAGGCACGGTCAAAGAGAAAGGTCTTGAGACCGGCCTTGAAGGAGGAAAGGGAGGAAGCAAGGTGAAGGCACTGGGGATAGAGTTCCAGAGCCACTACTCTTTAAGTAACTGGTGTGAAGCACTTTGAAATGTCCACTCGATGTGAATGGGGTCATATCAAATTCAAAGATTGCTATTATTCTTTGTAGCTTGTGTAAGATTTTACACTGTTTCAAGCTGTTTCATATGATTTCTACATTACATGTAAATTAAATAATAATAATAATTCTTGCATTTGATGTAGCCCCTTATCACGTCTTTGAGACGTCTCAAAGCGTTTAACAGAATATACTGTAAAGTGAATTGACTGTATATTTTGTGGGCAAAACACGGCAGCCAATTGTGCACAGCCAAATATACATGCATGGTGACAAGCCCAAACATGGAGATCATTTCATGTTATGCTGATGTCTCAGAGGTGAGGACTTTACAAGCACTTTTACCGACTTCACAATTTAATGAATGGTTTCCTGTTCTTAACCTCTATCTAAAATGATGTGACATTTATGTAGAGAGTATGAAATATGCGGTGAGATTAACAGAGAGGAAGGAGAGAGTGTCATGAAATATCTCATTATCTCATTGGTATAGGTTTAGTTGTTCTGCAGTAAGTTCCTAGGCAAAGGTTAAATTTTACTGAAAATGAATTGCTTTAACTTTGTTAACAATTGTAATTTAAAGTTGACTTCTATGTATTTGTTTTTCAGCCACAGCTCGATCTAGTGAGAAGCAGGCACTAATGTCTGAATTGAAGATAATGACCCATCTCGGACCACATTTAAACATTGTCAATCTGCTGGGAGCCTGTACTAAAACAGGTGGGTTTTGCCAGTTTATTCTAAAACAGATTTTTCCATCTAGTTTTTTTTCTGCTATATTTCCCAGTGCGATGAACCATCCACCCACTGATTCCTTCATCCAGGACCTTTCAGAGGAATGCATTCCACTGACTTTAGTTGTCTTTTCTATCAGGTCCAATCTACATAATTACTGAATACTGTTTCTATGGAGACCTGGTAAACTACCTACATAAGAACAGAGACAACTTTGTCAGCCGGTACTTTGAAAAAGGCATGAAGGAAAAGGACATTTTTGGTATTAACCCTGCTGATGAAAGCACAAGAAGGTGCGTCAATTAATGGATAAATAGTAGGCAGTTTCTTCCAATTATTCTTATACCCAAATAATAAGATGTGCATGTGTGTTTGTGTTAGTGGTGAGGAGAAGCAACTTGTGATGTGAGAATTATAACATGGAACATTAGAGTACAGACAGGCCATTCGGCCCAAGAAGTCCATACCAGTGTTTATACTCCAGTGACCCTCCACCTCTCCTAATCCCCCCTCCCATACTCCTCTATTCCCTTCTCTCTCGTGTGTGTATCAGGTTTCCTCTTAACCATGTTGTTTTTTTTTGCTTCAACTACAGTTTCTGGCAGTGAGTTGTACATTCCCACCACCATATGCGTTCTTCGAAACTCCCTTTTAAACCTACTAAATCTGTACTTACGCCACCTTTTTTGGACTCACCAACAAGTGAAAAACATCTTATTTCCATCCACCTTATCAAATCCTTTGACAATCTTAAAACACCTCTTATCAGGTTCCCTTTCAATTATCTCACTCCAGAGAGAAAAACTTCAACCTGTTGAATCTTTCTTTGATAGCTTGGTAAAGGCTATGCTACATTGCTGTACTCTCCCCCGATGCTAGAATATCCTTCTTGGAGTATTTTGACCAGAAACCCACACGGTATTTACTGATACTGTGACAGTTGTCATAAGGACAGATATTGTGATTACAACCTTCCCTTAAAGACATTCTTTAAGACAGGTTTGGGCATTTGGTGCCGGGCCACCATTACTCCTGGCCACAGGAGTAGCCTTTCAGCACCTCTTCACCAGATACCGGCTTAAATGCCGAAAATGCACATTTTGCATAAACTTCTAATTGTGTAAAAATTGGCTTCAGATAAGCAATTAAATTGCAATTAAATTGATATAAGGACATGTCAGAAATAGAAACTCAGGTTGAGCTGATCACAGGGCTAAGCATTGCTAAAAACAAAGATTAGGATTCAGTTATATGGTAGGAAAAGACCCGAGGTGGCTAACACCTACTCTTATTACCATGACAATTGGTTTCTAGAACCATCACCTCACGGAGATTAATGTCTGGTTTTGTTTCTGTAGCTATGTGATTCTGTCGTTTGAGAACAATGGCGACTACATGGACATGAAGCAAGCTGAAAGCACCCAGTATGTGCCAATGTTGGAAAGAAAAGACAGTTCAAAATATTCTGACATACAGCAGTCAGTGTATGATCACCCACCATCACACAAGAAGTCACTAACAGGTACGGTCATCGGCAGTACTGATGGTGTGTGAGACTTGTGGAGAACAGAAATGTCTGGAGTAGGCGAGTGAAGCCCAGTAACTCAATACAATTAGTAATGATGGTCAGAATCATTTAGCAGTGTCTTTTGGAGAGTTGCTGCTATTTGGCAGTGCTTCTGAAAACCTGTGGTGAGGTGCGATTTCAAAGCAACTATTTAAATCCTCGATTCTTCTGTAACTGCTGAATTTCCTCAGGATTTTGTTCTGTACCACGTTTTGTGATTTGGTAAAAATAGTGCCTCTATAATGACTTATTTATGATGAATTCCTCTTTATAAATATTGCTATTTTTAGTGATTGGTGCATAGTAGACCCATCTTCATGAGAAATGTTTGATACCTTGTATTTGCAAACACTGAATATGATCACAGAAATCACCTGGAAATTCTTTACTACATTACTTGAACAAAATTGCACTGTGCCAAAATGACACACTGCTTTTCTGGATTTCTGGCATAAAAAGGCTTCTCGATGAGTTTATCAGATATGCAATACAGCCCTGTTATAATAATAACGTTTGGATTTGATATAGTACCTTATACGTCTCAAAGCACTTCACAGAACTGTAAAGTGTTTTCACTGTATGTTTTGTGGGCAAAACGCGGCAACCAATTGCGTACAGCATAGTCCTACAAACAGTCCTGGAACAAATTATTATATTGGGCGGGGGGGGGGGGGGGGGGGGGGAGGTGGGAGGAAGATTATTATCCTCGGAAAGCGATCCACCAATTGATCAACATCTGGGTCTAAGGAAATTTGCCCAACACTTCTCAAGTTGAAGTTTGTTTCTAATGCTTTGGGGTTACGACAGTGTATGCGCTATCAACTTCCTAGTCATTAGATCACTATAATTGTGAGTTTCTGCATTGGACGTGTGCATTATACAGGAAATGATGTAAGTGGTGACCCAGAAGTCAGCCTCTTTTAATACAGGATCCAGAGGGTACGCAGGAAGCAAGCTTTCCAGTTGTGCACATGCAAAATTAACCTGGCCCTGTTATAAGGCGGGTTGAGATTTTATGGATCTCAATGACCACCTTATTTCAAGGCTTCATTGTCTTTCATATTCATTTAACAATAAATGCTGTTCACTCGCTTGATTTAAAAAAAAGGCTCAATAGACTATTAGTTGTTTTGCTCATAGTAAATGCAAGTTATTGGCTGCATTTTGACAGCTTTTGATACCTTCTAACGCATTCAGCTATTTTTCAGTATGCTTATTGATGGGCTTATTCCTAAAACCTCCCAACAATTGGTAACATTATTAATGTTTACCATTCTTATTTCTTTTCCTTCCAGAGTCAACTGAGCTTTGGAACCCACTTTTAGATGACAACTCAGATGGGATCAGCTTCATGGATCTAATTAGCTTCACTTTCCAGGTTGCACGAGGAATGGAGTTTCTGGCTTCTAAAAACGTATGTGGAGGCTTTCATCTAAACCACAATAACTAAGAACACTTGTTTATTGATTTCAAGATGCTCATTCATTTTCAAATCTCTTCACACTGGCACCTCCATAACTCTCCGACCTGCTTACTCCCCAACCTACTACCCACTGCCTCCACTTGACTAGCTCTGGCCTTCTGCATGACCCTTGTTCCCTCTGTTCCCCCATTGGTGGCAGTGCTTTCAGTCACTACGCCCCCAAACTCTGGAACACTCTTCCTGTATCCCTCCGCCTTGCCCCTTAGATCCCCACCTTCGGATTGCACCCGAAGACCTTCCTCTTCAACCGGTCAACTTTCCCCATCCCCCTGGCTCAGGGGTCATGCTCCACCACTGACAAGTATTTGGGACGCTACCCTGTGTGAGGGGCACTATACAAATTCAAGTTGTTGTTGCAGTTGTTGTTGTCATTGGTGCTTATGTTGTGCTAAGAATTTAAGGACCTGGTGTAGTGATTCTCCTTCCCTCTTCTATTCTTATACAGTGCGTGCATCGGGATCTGGCAGCCCGCAATGTACTCCTCGCACAAGGAAGGATTGTGAAAATCTGTGACTTTGGGCTGGCAAGAGACATCATGCATGACTCCAACTATGTCTCTAAAGGCAGCGTAAGTGTCTGGTCAACAGCCGCTTGAGATCTGATAATTCTTTCATTGATAACAAGAAAGAGAAATGAACACCATAAATTGTAAGCAACAACAATACAGTTCATGATCCCTAGTAATGCAAATCTTTTGCACTGATTTGGTTCTGGAGACTGGACTGGTGACACTTTGGGAAAATTTCAGCCCATTGACTATTACCTGAACACTGACAGACATCCCATTGATCAAGCTCATAGTGAGTGAGCTTGAACAATGAGCTCAAAAGTGACTGTGACCTTCACTAAGATGAGTCAGGGCTGTATCTTTTCTACTCCTGCTGACTAGCACCCAAGCTGATTTCACATTGAAAGAATATTAAAACTAAATAAAGAATATAAAAACTAATAAAGCTAGACCTATTCTTGCTGCAATACAGCTTTGTGTTTAAATCCTAACTCATCGCTTTGTTTACTGACACATTGCAGTATCTTAACAATACTGTCACTTTGAATGAGCTTGCATTTCTTTTTAATTTTTTTTGTAATCCTTTAATATGCAGACCTTCCTACCAGTGAAGTGGATGGCTCCTGAAAGCATATTCGACAATCTTTACACAACCTTAAGTGACGTGTGGTCTTTTGGCATTCTCCTGTGGGAAATATTCTCGCTGGGTAAGTTCATACGCAGGAAATCAGCTTGTTCAAGGAAGGCAGCATTGGATGTTTGCTTTCTTATTTATTTTTAAAAGTTATTTTTTTCTAAAGTAGAGTGCTGAAATTTGCTAAACACATTCCATTCCTTATTTGGGGAATGGTGCTAAATCATGGAGTCCTGTAGCTTAGTGATTTGCGCGCTTGCCTCGCAAGTGAGAGGACCCGATTTGATTCTCGCGTCAGGAGAACCTTAGGCAAGTTTCCTTGCTCCACATGCCTTTGTTTACCTAGCAGTAAGTAGGATCCCGGGGGTAATAAACCCTCCAAAAAACAAAACAAAAATATTTAATCACTCAATCCATGACTATTTGTGTGACATTGGTCTGAGCGATTGGCTGCCATGGTTCGCTTACTCAGACGATAATCGCCTAACTCAATCTGAGTTCAGGCGGTGAATAAGCCCAGAGAGGCCTCTTTCTGTGATAATAAACTTGAATGGAGGCCTCATTGAATTCTTCGGGCAACTCTCTTTAATTACATTGCTCCAGTGCTCCACATTCCCTTCATATTTTTAATTATCAAGTATCTGTCAATTCCTCAATTGACTGTACTGGAAAAGGTCAAAGCAGCAAGATAATAATAAAACCCCCCACAAAATACTGCAGATGCTGGATATCTGAAAACAAAATAATAATAATAGATAATAATAATCCTTGCATTTGGTCTTTGAGATGTCTCAAAGCACTTCACAGAATACATTGTAAAGTGAATTGACTGTATATTGTTGTGGGAGAAAAATGTATTTTAGTGATCATTCAGTCCACTTTTTGCTATTAAAAGAGCATTATAAACACTCCATGAATTTACAACAACAATGATTTGCATTTGTATAGATCCTCAGAGCAGAGTTTAATGGTTTGCCAGGCTACCTCTGTATAAAGCAAGTTAATTTTTCACTGCAGTATTTCACATCGGGCTGCCTTGCTTTCTCTAGGTGGCACCCCATATCCGGGAATGATGGTGGACTCCAACTTCTACAACAAGATAAAGAGTGGCTACCGGATGACGAAACCAGAACATGCGACTTCCGATGTGTAAGTATTCTAACAACACGCTGGAGTTACTTAGTTTCTACAAAGTGCTAATGTACAAACAGTAAGTGGTATGAATTGTGAAGCTGAATCCTTACTTTCTAATTATAACTCCCTCTGTGTAGCTATGACCTCATGGTGAATTGTTGGAACAGTGAGCCTGAGAAGAGACCTTCCTTCACTCGTCTGGCAGAAATTGTTGGGAACCTATTACCGGAGGACTTCAAGAAGGTGTGTCCTGGTACTTTTATTCAATGGCAACCACAATGATCGCTGAGGAAAAAACCTTGTGAAAAATTTTTAAACATCGGGTTAATTTGGTAACCAGATTTCCCCAGTTCTTAAAAATAACTGAGCATCTAAATTAAGGCCGAATTTGACAATTGTTCCACAATTTTGTGGCCCAGGTAAATTTTCCACAATTTTGTGCATGACTACTTTATTAATAAGGCCATATTAGTCCTTCATACATTTGCTGCCTGTGATGTTGTTTCAGTTGTTCACAAAATCTCTTAACGATGCAAGCAACAACAACCACAACAAATTGCATTTATATAGTACGTTTCACGTCGGGATGACGTCCCAGGGACACTGGATAGTAAATGGCTTCCATCTGAGCTGGGGATTGGAATCAAGAGGTTGACGATTGTGCAGCACAAACATTTATTTTGTTCTCACGGCTCTAAATCGTTTTTTTTATTGAGCAGAGCTACGAGCAGGTGAACAATGACTTCCTGAAGAGCGACCACCCTGCTGTTGCGCGGATGAGGGTGGAATCTGATGACACCTACATTGGAATCAGCTACACCAACGAGGATAAGAAGAAGGATCGGGAGAGCGGAATCGATGACCAGAGACTAAGCGCCGACAGTGGTTACATCATCCCACTTCCTGACATCGACCCCATCACAGACGACAGTGAAACTGCTTCAATAAGAAACCGACACAGGTAAAGTGACTGGAATCTGTGCTGAAGTATCTATGATTCTTCTGAAAGAGATAGTTTTAGTAATAAAAGTAGAGGACCTGCCCTTATTGCTAAGAATAATGATATTTTCTCTATATCCATATGATTTTCTATTATAAGGGACGTACCCATAAGAAAGTTTTTTTTTACAGAGCACCCAATATTTCCAGATTCTCAACAGAACATTTTTATTTATTTGAAAGGCACTATATAAAGGAAAGTTATAACTTAGTACAGAAAAAATCAAGGCCTAACAAGTCCTTTTCTTTTGTTAATCTGCACCACGCCTACTGGGCTTCTCACCATATACTTATATAGAATTACATAGAATATACAGCACAGAAACAGGCCATTCGGCCCAACTGGTTTAGGCGAGTGTTTATGCTCCACATGAGCCTCCTCCTGCCCTTTCTCAACTAAGCCTTCAAGCATAACCTACTATTGCTTTCTCCCTCAAGTACTTATTTAGCTTCCCCTTAAATGTATCTATGTTATTCGTCTCAACTATTCCTTGTGGTAGCAAGTTCCACATTCACACCACTCTCTGGGTAAAGAAGTTTCTTCTGACTTCCCTATTTGATTTATTGGTGACTATTTTATATTGATGGCCCCTGGTTTTGGTCTCCCCCACAAGTGGAAACATCTTCTCTATGTCTACCCTATCATAAACGTACAGAATTTTAAAGACAACAACAACTACAACAACAAAATTACATTTGTAAAGCGCTGTTCATGTCGGGAGGACATCCCAAGGTGTCGGACAGTCAGAGTTTTGGGCCCGAGCTGGGGGTCGGGAGTGGGGGAGGGTGGAGGACAGGGGGGGAAGCAGGGTGATCGAAAGCACGGTCGAAGAGGAGGGTCTTGAGATGGGTCTTGAAGGTGGCAAGGAAGGGGGCGAGGTGGAGGGAGGTAAGGAGAGGGGTAGGGATGGGGTCGTGGGAGCAGGTGGTCAGTTTACTCACAGACTTCATAAACTTCTCCCTGTCCACTGGTACAGTGAGGTTTTCCACCCCATTAAAAACAGCTGTCATCACTCCTATCCTTAAACCCTCCCAAGACCCGTCTCTGCTCTCAAGCTACCACCCCATCTCCAACCTCCCTTTCCTCTCCAAGATCCTGAAATGATCACTTCACTCCTTCCTCTCCCACCGCTCCCTTTACAAACTCCTCCAATCAGGTTTCCGTGCCGCCCAGAGCACAGAAACAGCCTTGGTCAAAATAACAAATGACATTCTGTGTATCTGTGATCAGGGCTCCATCTGTCTCCTCGTCCTCCTTGATCTCTCTGCTGCCTTCGACACCATTGACCACTCTATCCTCATCCACCGCCTCTACTTGAGAAAGGGCAGGAGAATGGTGCTGTGCTGACTGCTGTGGTTATGCTGCTATCGTCTCAATTATGTGATAAGGCACTATATCAAATGCAAGGATTATTATTATTATTTTCATTCTGACTTTCCTCTGTTTCTCTGCAGTTCCCAAACTTCTGAAGAAAGCGCAATCGAGACAGGCTCCAGCAGCTCGACTTTTATAAAGCGAGAGGAAGAAACTATAGAGGATGTGGAAATGATGGATGATGTAGGAATCGACCCCTCAGACCTTGCGGAAGACAGCTTTCTGTAACTGTTTGAGAACCAAGTCACTTGTAAAGGGAAAATAAACTGCACCTTCCTGCAGACAATAACTTCTGTATAACCACTTTGTGAGGCAACCCAAGGAGAGAATGTGAGGAGAGAACTTTGACGATGTATTGTAAAAGCAACATCGGAAATTCGAGAGCTATCCTGGGCAAACAGTATGATTCCTATCGTAGTACATATCATGTGCATATTTTAGTGCATTTTTTATTATGGTACTCTCTATAGTGTATGTGTGAGTGAGTGTGTTTGTGTGTGCACACACTGCCATTCCAATGGATACCAGAAGGCCGTACAAAGTCAGTGTGTGTTTCAAAGGCTTGTCTCTATGGAGGAGGGCAGTCCTTCCATTCTGAAAATTAACTGTATTGGTTACATTCATTCAGTACCATACAGGGTAATATGTGTTGCATTGCATCTCGGATTCTGTAGCAGTCGGAAAGGAATCATTACATAATGCCATGTCTTCTGTGTTCAGACCCAGAGTTCACCATCACTGTATTCCACATGTGTTCTCTTAGGTACTTGCTTCTTCCTCCTTATGAATGGTGACTTGACTTATTCCTTTAACAAAGCACAATTTTTGGAAGTCATTACAAGTAAAGAGCATGTTGCAGTACAGCAAGATTCCACCTCCAAAACTTTAGTTATCTGTGAAATTTTCTGCAAAAGCTGCAAATTAAGACTGTTCACCCGGATGAAATAGACTTGACTTGTTTTAACTGGCCTTCGACGAAGAGTGAACCGTGGGAACCAGCATCATCACTGGGCCATGGATTGAGCCAGAGCCTAAAGCTACCCAACTTTGTTAATAATATGCCAGGACTGAAGAACACCCCAGCCAAGCTCGGCTTGCGATCAACCAGTTGCACATCCTCTGTTATGAAGCAGACTTGGAGCATGTCAAAAGTATGGATATAAATCAATTGCTTTGCTTTTGAAGTGAAGTGAAAAGGAGGGACTTGTCTTTTGTCTGATCAAGGAACTGATGGCCAAATCCAGCAACAGAAGCAATCTTTGTTCTGAGTACAACTAAAATGGTACCAATGCTTGTTGAGAAAGAAAGTCCTTGGGAAAATCTCTGCCCACTCCACCTCTGTTCCCTGATGGGGAAGTCATCAAGCACATCATTACAGTATGTGTATAATGTAAATTATATTGCCTCTCTCCAATACTGTTGGCTTCAATGCACCTTTAAACCTTGCTGATTTCATAGCTTTATAACTTCTGTGAAGTCAGTAAGAGAAGGGCTCCATAAATAGTTATTCAAGGGGAAGGGTGGAATTTAATGGCTTACAAAATGCAGAACTGAAATGTAAAAGAAATCTACAAGTGAATATTAATGTTGAGTTAAATATAAAGTCAGCCTGTATTGACAAAGGTCCTGCTGGCTGCTGTTCCTGTTTTAATGACTGATGTAATAGATAATTCCATTGTAGCAGATGGTGTATCTAGTCATTAAGAGCAGTATGTTTGGCCAAATTCCAATATGTGGTCCATGAACTAGATTAGATTGTAGTCAACAAAGGAAAGTATGCCGGTATTTCCAAAGCTCGGAGTTTGATATTTGTAGGCACCAACAATTAGGTTTTCTGTCTTTGCATATGTGCTAAACTTCAGAACATTCCCAGAACTAGTTGTCAGCTTTTACATGTTGACAAATTCAGTTGACTCAAACACTAGCTTTTTGTGAACAACTTTGAATAATGACTATTCCTATTTTTGTCAAATCAAATGATTCATTGAAACATTGCTTCAGACTCAGCAAGGGGTCCCCAACGCATGAGGAGAGATTTCACCTTAGACTAGATTTACCCTATTTATGTAGCACTTTTAGGGTGCTTTGGCAAATAATAATAATAATCCTTGCATTGCAGAATACAGAAATACAGAATTTGGCAAAGTAATAGTATAGTAATCTGAGATATAATCCTTGCATTTGATACAGAGGCTTATCATGTTGTCAAGATGTCTCAAAGTGATTCACAGGATACCCTGTAAAATGGATTGTGTGCTGTGTGGCAGCTAGTTTCCCAATGACATTCCCACAAACAATTATAGAGCGCGTGACCAATTTTATCTGAGGGATTATTGGGCAAAAAATCAGGAGAGAGAAACTCCCTTCTCCATTCAAATAGTGCTGCATGAGATATTTAATGTCCACCTGAACAGGCAGAAAGAGGACCTCAGTTTAAACAACTCATCTGAAGACATCATCATAAAACCCAATCAAAACAAACCCACTGTTACAAGTTAATCAATTGTTGAATATAATCTTAACTTTGAAGTTGATTTTCTGTAGCTTTAAATCTTTTTTTNACATGAATCCAGGTTCAAAATTAAGAACGTAGTTAAGATTTCTGGATGCTCTAAAGTGCTACGTTAATAGAATCAATTTAGGTGGAATCTCTCCCCAGCAGTCTTACATTGTTGAAACACTACAGGCACACATTTGGTGGACCAATGTGCATTATTTTCAATGAGCCTTCCCATCTCCAAAGTGGACTGACTGTCAATAATGCCCAGCATTGTTACCGGGCTCTTAGTTTTGTGTTTTCATACTTTCTGTTTTTACAAAGCAAATCCAGCAGGCGGCGCTGTGACATATTCCAGGTACAAATGAGATCCACCCAATCCATATCAACTTTTTCTTCCTGTGTGTAATCCGATTTGTCTCATAATGTTTAGGAAAACAACAAGCATACAAGTCTGAGCTATTTTCCAAAACTTCTCCGCTTCCAGTTATTAATTTTCACGGGGATTACATTTTAGTGCTGCTGATCCTGAATTCAGTGGTGTTAAATAGCTCCCCATGAATTCATGTTACAAACATAGGAACAGGAGTAGGTTATTCAGCCCCTCAAGCCTGTTCCACCATTCTATAAGATCCTGTCTGGTCTGTACCTCAGCTCCAATAGTTACCTTCAAAAGAAAACAGATCCTTCTAGTTGCAACTGGAACACAAAGTGTAAGAACAGTCCAAACATAAAAAGCAATTTTCGGATTGTGTTGTCTGAGTGTTTCTCTTGCACCCAGAGGGATCTCTGTCAGTATATCTGAGGCCCCCAAATCTGCTGGTCTATTTTGTCTTAAAATTTTAAAATCCTGCGGAACGATGGAAAATTCTTAAACTCAGTCCTGATTTGGAAACCGGTTTTCTGCAGTTCTTAATAATAGCCGGCTTCCAAATAGCCGACTGAATTTCGGAATGCCATGAGATCTTATTTGCTATGGCCAGGTCAAGTTTTGGAGCCTCAAACTGTTAGTAACTTTGGGTTTTAATGGACAGCAGTGAAATTAAATGTCGTGTCGCCTTGGAAACATGATTTCATCTTTGATTTCATCTTTGAATGGCCTAAATGTTAAAATGTGGTTTAAACATTTATGCAACGGTCCTACCAAGTGATAAGGGACGTTGGATATATCTATGATGATGTTATACATCATATCTGTACATATATGTGTATTTCAGTGTAGTCTCTGGGTTACTGCCAAGCATTTATGTCTAGCTGTATCACTGCCTATGTTTATATTTTTGACTGTGATGTACTCCACAGGCACGTTACAATGTTGCACTTTTGAATGTCCAAAAAATATGTATTTTAAAATGTAAAAAAAATGAAAGATTCCAAAGGGATAGAGTTGTGAATGCTGGTATGAACTGTGTGTAGGTTAAAGTCTTGTGAACATTTATTATGAAATTACCACAACGATTTAAAGATTTTGTTTAACTTTCTTTATATTGCTGTATCAAAGCAACACTGTGTAAACTCAGATTCTCTATTTCAATAAATTCAGATGAATTTAGTGATTTGGTTTCAGCTATCTCTGTGAGACGGTGCTTTCCTAAGGAATGATTTAATGACCAGAAACAGGTAATATTGCTTTATAGTTATATCGATCATGTACCAAATATGTCTCTCTTTCATATGGCAAGCACCAGTTTCGATTTGATGGTGAGGGGGAATAACCTTTCTCTATGTTGCAGCGCACTATTTTATACATTTTCAGTACTTTCAGCAATGTGTGTCTTCAAGTATCAGTTACATGGCTCACTGAGCCTCGAGTGTCACTGCTCATGATCCTCACCAAAATAATGGAACAAAACTATTCTCACCAATTTCAATGTGGTCTTTGTTTTTTTAGACATTCAGCTATCCAGGAGTGAAGGCTTATGTACAGAATAAGACCCAGGATATAAAATTACTCTTGTACGTCAAGTGTAGCATTTTTGCTGATGTACATTAGCAGGATCATTTGCAGATGGGTTGCTTTTAAACTAAACAAGTGTGTTTTGTACTCATCAAGGCGTGGGCTGTCAGTGCTGGGAGAGGGACACTGCGTCATTCAAACACTCAAACACTTAAGTGGGAAGAGATGATTCTAGCATTATCTGTAAATTTACCAGCCTTGGTAAATGAGTGGGCCTAGGACTCTGCTCGCCAGTAAATGTTAACATTGTGGGAAAGGCTTACAATGGGGGGAAATCCTATCTCAAGCAGACACTGCCAACTATCAGACACAACAATGTGACAACCCACCGAGGCCTTGTAGGTATAGACAATCAGAGAACCAGCCTCAGTGTTAGCATGGAATACGCTCAGGCCAGGCACAGCAACGCTTAGCAATCGCACACCTGATGTGAGGGCTTTAACCTTCAAGTTTCAGAGCCAGTGGTGAGAGTGTTCCCAACCGAACCAAATTGACAAAGGTGTTTAAAAAAATGCTTGCTAGGAAAATACAACATGAATGGTACCACACCCTGAATAAAGCAACTCAGTCTCTACTCTGAATGATCCATTGCTGCACTGGGTAGTGCTTTTAACCACTAAGCCATCAAGAGGTTGTACACGCGTTTCTTTAGACATTATTATATAATATAATATATATAGGCTCGACAAAATATAACCAAATGGTGGTCAAACAACTTTTTTGAGAGGATTCCACTCTAAACAACGTGTTTCTCTGTCCATTGCTAAGAGTAATTTTCTTTTTGGAAACCTCATTTCAGTATTGGTTTGTCAATCTGAAAGGTTTGAGGGTTGCGGATCCTCAAATAATCCTCACACGATCTTTTCTGGTCACCCGCACTCAAATTCCAGTGGCAGATTTCAATCATTGTGGAACTAGGGGTAGCGTCACAGAGCAGCAGCCTTCTGGAGCGGATCATTATCTAAACTTCTAAATTAACTAATCCTGTGTGAGAGGAACTAATTCCTTTTTTTTAATTTAACATCTAAACCCCCTTTTTTTGCAAAGTATCACTACATTTTTGGATTTTACAATTGACAAGTCACCCAGAGTGGAGACTGTAGTTGTTTCTCTGGGTTGTTTTTACATCCTACTATCACATGGTGGTGGCCTAACACAGATTACTGTATTACTGTCCGTTCTGACGAAGGGTCGTGGACCCAAAACGTTGACTCACTTTCCTTTCTCCATAGACGCTGCCTGACCTGCTGAGTTTTTGTTTCAGATTTCCAGCATCTGCAGTATTTTGTGTTTTATTCATGTTTGACTCACTGCCACTTCTCTTCTAGGAATGCCTACCCTGAAGAAGCCTTGTGTTTGACCAGAATGTCAAGTTGTTGACAACCAGTTGTCTTTTCAAAGACAAGCATGAATCAGTAGACGAGGAATGAATAGGAGAAAGGTAGAAAAATCTTAATAATATAGAATCAAACATTAATAACATGGAATTATAAATGTTGCTGAGTAGGAGGAGGCCATTCAACTTGTCTGTGCTAGTTGTTCCACTGAAGCTAACTAACCTTATTCTAATTCCCTGCTCTTTCCCTGTACTCTTTCATATTGGTTTTCTTCAAATGATAATTTAATTCCCTTTTAAATGTTGATTGTTATAGTTGGTGGATCTAAAACGTGTTCTAACATTGTGGCCATCAGCAAAACTGCCTCCAGCTTCAGCATAATGGTTGGACCCAATCACAGAGAACTGGTGACAGCTAAATTACAGTAAAATAATGGTTCAAGGCCCACATTGAGACTTTGAACTCATACAGTCTAGGTTGACACTCCAATGCAGTGTTGGCGATGTGCTGCATTGCTGCAGGTGTTGTCCTCGGGTTAAACCAAGGCCCTGTCTCTTGTTCAGGTGGATATTAAAGATCCCATGGCACTATTGAATAAGAGAAGGGAGTTTCTCGTGGTGTCCTGGCAAACGGTCACTCAAACTAAAAAATGATCATTCACTTCATGCTGTTTGTGGGGCTTTACTGCATGCAAATTGGCTGCTGTTTTTACCTATTTGCGTACAAAAAAAATACAAAGTCACTCCACTTCACAGTATTTCCTATGAATCACTGTCATGACGTGAAATGTGCTATTTCAAATGGAAGGATTATTTTTATTATTACTTATAACTTTGACTTTTTAAAGTGTTCTTTCCCTCAATGTCGCCTGGCTCCTCCACTGTCTCACACCGCAGACCACCAAAACCCTCATACAAGCATTCATAAGATTGCTTGTCGACCTCCCCAACTCCTCCCTCCATAGGCTGCAGATCATCCAAAACTCTGCAGCCTGTGTCCTCTCCCACACCAGGCTCTGTGACTTTATCACTCCCATTCTCGCCCAACTCCACTGGCTTCCCATCACACAGAGGATACAATTCAAAATCTTGGTCCTCACCTTCAAAGCCGTCCATGGTCTTGCTCCCTCCTACCTCTGCGACCTCCTGACCCCTGACCATTCTGATCGCTCCCTCCGCTCAGCGGGCTCCGGCCTGTTTCATGTCCCCTGCCTTGCTCACCCCACTATTAGCGGGGGGCCTTCTACCATTCTGCATCCACCTCTGGAACCCCATCCCACAGTCCCTCCGCCTTGCCCCCTCCCTTGCCACCTTCAAGACCCATCTCAAGACCCTCCTCTTCGACTGTGCTTTCAATTTCCCTGCTTAGCCACCTGCCCTCCACCCTCCCCAATCCTGATCCCCAGCTCGAAACTCTGTCTGTCCAGCGCCTTGGGACGTCCTCCTGACCTGAAAGGCCCTTTACAAATGTAATTTTGTTGTTGTTGTTAAATTTCCAAGACGCAGGACAAGTAAAGGACTTATTCATTAGCTGGCCAACAATCCTGCAGGACATTTGGTCACTCAACAAGCACTGTGGAGTCCTGTAGCTCATTGGTTAGAGCACTCGCCTTGCAAGCGAAAGTAGGAACCCGTCAAGCGATTAGCTGCCGCGTTTTGCCCACAAAATATAATCAAGCCATTTAACAGTATATTTCACGAAGCGCTTGGGGACTTCTCGAAGACGTGATAAGGCGCTACATCAAATGCAAGGATTATTATATAAAAATGCAAATTCTTCTGCACACTTTGGGTCATGTGCCACTGCAATACCTTATCTTACCACCTGAGGGAGACAAAGCCATCAACATCACACGGGAAGGACCTGATGCTCTCACTCCATGGGCAGTTTATGCTTGTACAGAGTTCAGCGTTTCAAAGATGTATTAAGCCATGTGAGTTCCCCCTTATGCCCGATTCTTGGCATAAGAGGGTGAAATTAGACAGAATACAATTTTTTTTAAATATGCTGATCCTTGTAGTAATAATAATCCTTGCATTTCACCCTGGATGATGCCTCAAAGTACCATAGGATTTAATATAGAATGCAGCAACTGTGTATTTTGTTGGCAAACTTTGTCATTGGTATAGTTCCTTTAATATCAAAGCAAATCAAAGCATCTTAAATGTACTTCAAAGAGAATTATACAACACAATTTGAATGTATATAGTAGAAGGTTGTCTCAAAACGTTTACAATACTTGTGGATGAACAAGGCAGGTGGTTTTATGCATAGCAAGATCCCATGCCATGTTGTTGGTGCATTACCAATTTATCTGGAGGATTGTTGG